CTCCTACCTTATTTTCAGGATCCCATCACTTGTGCATGTTTGTGTGCATGTGTGTATAATTAATTGATGTTTTGTAATTTGATGATTCTGTTGCACAGTTTTGATTTTTGGATCTGGACTTCCTCGCTGTAATGTTAGTCTCTGAAGCACAGTAGCTAAGACATCCAGTGCACGTGTGTCAACAGTTGTGGTCCTGGAAGAGAGTGAAGTTTCTGCTTTGCAGATGGAGAACCTGAAAGACAGTACGTTTCCATAGTTACTGTGTTTATGTCAGCCCCTTTGAACGCAGCGTCAGGCTCCATGGGGATAACATCCTTGAGCAAATGAGCTGCAGCTAATCCTAACCCAAATAAAGCTAGCAGCCATGTCTCGTTAGCACCCCCATCTCTCGTTAGCACCCCCGAGTTAGCACCGGGTCTTACTGGAGTCATCTGCCAAAGTGAAGGGGCGGGGCCAGAACTTTCCTGAAGCCCTATTTACACTTACGCGTGATCTCTGTCAGCTCTCCGGGTTCTGTTTGACTTAAAAGCATCACACGGTCTTGTTTTGTTCCAACTGTGGATATCGCTTTGTTCACTGGTGGTGGCATTTTTACAAAAAGATGTAATATTTGGAGGGGAGATCTGTGTCTTTCAAAGGCTTCTGTTTGTCCTGAAAAGTCAAGCATCTAGTAGATGCTTCCTTTATGGCTTATGCTCCCCTTATGGTCAGGTGTTATAATAGTAAATGTAAACGTTTAAAGTAAATTTGCTGCATTTGACACATGGGCGTTTATTCAGTGCTACAGCGCAGTGTGGGATGAGGCCGCCCCCATTTTGTTCTCTGCCTGCCCCTCGGCAACATCCGGCGTTCTGCAGGGCCTCAGGGAAATGCCCAGTAATGCCAGTGGCTCCCACTTTTAAATTCAGGACCACTGAGTCCAACGGGGCCTTAGTGGGGCCCAGCATTGCTGCTCCACGGCTTACCTCGGCTCTCCTAGACAAGGATCACACTTTCTCGTCTCGCAGCCGCCTCTCTCCTCTCTCTGCTGATGAGGAAAAACACCCTGAAGGAGGTGCCTGACCCCTCACCGTATCTACTGCCTGTCACCTATCTACCGTCGTGCACGCGCGCGCTCGGGCCGGGCTCTGGTTGGTAACGTGCCCTCTTATCTAAGGCCGATCACCTCCGCTCGTCTGGGTACGTCCCCCGCCGCCCACCTTGCGGTTCTCTGGTGGTTTTCCGTTCTCTCTCCTGCATCACGAATTATCCCCCTCCCCCTTTGACCAGGTCATTCCTCTCAGCATCTTCACGTGTGGAAATCGTTCCATCTTTAAAAGAAAAGAGAGATGAAGGAAAGAAGAAACTCCCTAGGGAGGCGCCATAGTTTCCTGCAGCCGCTGCCCCACTTCTCTGTTCCTCTTCCCAGTAAATATACTCAGAACAGCTGTCCACTCCAACTTTCCTTTACTCTATCTCAATCTCTCCAAGAAGGCTTTCGGCTTTTTATCAAAACTGGCTGCAGGGTCGGCATGATGTCTCCATAGTCAAATCCAGGGATGCAGTCTTGCAGAACTGGGTCCCCCTGCCAGCAGCACTTAACACACTCACTGTTTCTTGACTTGGCTTTCAAGACCCCGCTCTACCCACTTTTCTTACTTCAGTGGCAGCCTGCTGCTCATTCCCTGGATCTTAAACACTGCCAAACCCAAGGGTTGGCCCTTAGACGTCTTCCGCGTCTATGCTCACCTCCTAGGCGAATCCAGCGGGTGCCAGGCTCTGTCCTAAAATGTCTTACTTACTGCTGCCTCCTGATACTGTACCTCCACTGGGACTTCTCCCTTAACCCACACACTTCTCATGTCCAGTGGTGGTCTGGATATCTCCCCTGCGGTGTCAAAACGGCCAGAGCAGAATTCCTGATGTCCAGCACCCCGAGCTTGCTCCTCCTGCAGCTTTCCCGTCTCCAGCTGCCCGCGTCAAAAAGGGAAGGGTCGCTGTCAAATCCTTTCTCAGTATCGCCTGCTGCCCGTACCTTCCAAACAGACCCCGGGTGTTACCATTTCTCAGTCCTCACCGCCATCTCTTTAACGGATTGTCACCGCTACCTTCTCACTGGTTTCCTTGCTTCACCCAGAGCAGCCCCGGAGAACCTTTTCAAACGTGGAGCCAAGCTTCCCTACGCTCAGAGCATTCCAGTGGCTTTCTGTTTCAACGGGGGTAACAGCGGACGTCTTCACAGTGGCCGCACGAAGACCCCTGGCCCCTGCCGCCGCCTCTTCTTTGTCATCTTCGTCTCCCTCTCCCTGTCTCCCCCTCCCTCCTCTCTCCCTGCCCCCGCCTCCCGTCCCGCACTATTCCCTTTCCTCCTCCACGCCTCTTCCAGGCGTTCCCGGGGTCACTGTCTTCAGTTCAGACTCACTCTGTCAGGGAGCCTTCTCTGAACAGTCCGTCAAATACAGTAGCGTCCTGCATGCATTCCTTCTAAGATGATACTTACGTTAATACACTATTCACTGCCTCCTCCTTTTGAGGGAGGGGCATTGTTCTGTCACCACTGTATCCTGAAGACCCAGAACAAGCCTGGCACCCTGTGGGAGCTGAAGAAATGAATGAAGGGGTTGATGATTCATGGTATGGGTTTATGACTACAAAGGTCTTAAATTACTTAATAAAATTAAGAATTTAATGCAGCTTTTTAAATCACTACATAAAAAATATTATAGGTCTGTATCCATGCAAACTCTTACCTTGATCCCTGTTTCAACCTCTATTTGATGATGAGGCTGTTACCAACATTTAAGTATAAATTACCTAGAGGACACTGTGCTGAGATTATCCTGCATAGCCCCCACAATTCAGCCTATGTTATTATCCCATTTTATGAAAAGGAAATGAGGTTTAAAGAGCCTGAAGCCAGCTGAAGACAGGAAGTGGCAGGACTGGTTTGCATCTGGAACTGGTGTGAACTGGTGTGCCCAGCTCCAGAACCAGACTTCAGCTGATGCAGCTGCTAAAATAAAAGCCTCTTGGAGATCCTGTTTAATTTTGGTCATTTCTAGGTTCATATGCTTTAATAGATTTTTTAGAAATGGTATTTCGTTTTGGGAACCAGGGATTCAATTTTGTAATTGTTCAGTTCAGTCGCTCAGTCGTGTCTGACTCCTTGCGAACCCATGAGCTGCAGCACACCAGGCTTCCTTGTCCATTACCAACTCCCGGAGCTGTAGTTGTTAAGCAGTGATAAATGGAGAAGGGAATGGCAGCCCACTCCAGTCTTCTCGCCTGGGAAATCCCACGGACGGAGGAGCCTGGAGGGCTCAGAGTTGGACACGACTTAGTGCCTGAACAATAACAACAAATCAACTGTAAATGAGATCCTTTTTACAAATTTTGAACTAAACTTGAGATCTCATGGCTCTTTGCCTAGTGACCTAGAATAGCTCTGTGACCTGGTTCATACCTGGTGAGCTGTTGCTAAGGTTGTAACGGCTCTGGTGTGTGAGTCCCTAGCTACGGATGATGCAGAGCTTGGAGTGCTCTGGCTGCTTCTCAAGAGGGAAATGAGACATGAATTCACAACTTCAGATTTTTACAAATAAATGGGGAAAAAAAAGATTTTTACACTTAGCTTTGCAGCAGACGATTACTCTTGAGAAAGACAGCCTCCCTCTCAGAACAAAAATGCTGGTAGATGAGACAGGGAGGGAACCGCCAAGTACAGTGAGGAGGGTGTGGGTGAAAGAAACAGTGGCCAGAAGAGATGAGCCAAACTCTAGTCAGAGCTGGGGATTCAAACAGCCTCACACCCTGCTTCCTTCTTTCTCTCTGCCACATCCAGTTGCCCTCTGGCCCGCTCTCCAAGGCTCGAATCCCCTGCTGAAGACCTCAGAGGTTGGCAGCAGGCACTTGGCGTTTCTGGTAATGCAACCACCAGATCTCTTACAGGTTCCAGATGCCTGCGGAGTGAGCCGTTGTTGGTCACACTTGCTCCCCATGGAAGGAAACACGATGCTGCCCTGGTTCTGTAGGAGGAACTCTTTTTATATATAGAATGAAGCAGTTAGTGAAGCCCTGGGGTAGCCAGTAACTAATCATCTGAGACTAAATTCTGTAGATAATGTACTGGATATTGTAAGGACATACATGTGTTTTTTTGTTACTACCATGAATCTTAAAATGTGACTCCACGTTCAAAATAGTCTATTGACTAATCTACTCTGAAAAAAGAGCTTTCAGGTAACCTCTTCTCTGAGGTTCTGTTTATACTAGTGGGGAACAAATGTAAGAAATGTGAGTGAGAACTAATTAGAGGAACTATAAGAGCATTCCTTGGTTCATTCATGACATGCATGGTAGCATGAAATATTTTTGTTGGTCTTACCTAACGTAAGTGAAACTACCAAGCTTTTGTATTTGCTAATACCACAACCTTGTCAATTTTATGCTTTGTTTTGGGATGGCATGATTCATTCCTCTATTATCATTGAATTTAGAAAATGCAGATTGTGTATTTCAAGGTATTGTACAATGTGTGTATAATTTAGAATTTTCTCCCAAGTATCTTGACTTCACTATTTAAAAATCACTGAGATATAATTTTTCAAAGTTTAAAAAAAAAAAAGTAAGACTGTCTTTAAACAAGACTGTTTATGAACAGAGAAATAAGATAGGAAGTGACAAGGGCAGACAATTAGCAGCGCCTCCTAAGGATTAGCCCATAAGGTGATATGAAGTATTCTCACTGTGTTCTTTTATTTTTGAGGGCTTTGTGTCATGACCTTTTCATTTTTTTCCTCCATTCCAACATCTGCTGGCTTTTAAATGGAATCATTGCTTTGGTATTTTCAGTATCTGAGGGTTGCTTTGCACATACCCTGCTATTGTTCCCAAGCAACTGCCTGGGTCAGATTTAAGACTGGGCGCTCATGCTGTGACCTTAATAACCAAAGCCTTTTTGGCCTTAAAATATGAATCGTAATTTATTTCTTTGTTCACCTCCCCCCCACCTTTTAAAACAGGCTGCAGATACTTTGGCTGTGAGGCAAAAAAGAAGAATTTATGATATCACCAATGTCTTGGAAGGAATTGACTTAATTGAAAAAAAGTCAAAAAATAGTATACAATGGAAGTAAGTTACAAACCGCTCTAGTCTACCTTTTTCTTCTCAATGCTCTGTACACGCTGACCTTTCTGCCATGTGTGTCTCCTGAGTCCTCTGTCCCAGCCGTCTACGCTGGTTACACGGCCCCTCGCGTGTCCCTGGGCACACCTCTGGGCTTCTGTGTCCCTCCTGTGGGACACGGGATGGCCCCTGGCTCACTCCGCCGTTTAATTTGCACTCTCACAGTTCAACTCTTCTCCCTCCAGCTGCTTACTTGGCACACACTGCATCCTGCTTTCTATCATTAATCCTTCTTTGCCTGGGTGTTCTAGGTACTCACCTAATATAAACTCCTTGAAAACAGGAACTGAGTCTCATACATACAAGAATATGTACGTTATAAATAATGATTAGTGGAAATGCATGTTGTCATTTGTTAACTTGTATGTTTGTGACAAACACGTTCTTTTCCACAAACTTGCCCCCCTTATCCTTAGCTTTTCAGTTTATTTTAGCCAAAAATCCCGACAAAACACTAAAAGACTGTAATCTGTCTCACCCGCGTCTCAGTCCACGTAGATGACCAGTGTGGCCGTTCAACTCTGGTATCCTTTGGTGCCTCAGCCACCAGTCGGCCTTCTAGATGACAGAGAACACTAGAACAGATGGAGAACTTTGTAATTCGGGTGTTTGTTTAGACAGTGGTGTGGTGTTTACATTTTCTAAAGATTTTAATGGTTAAAGATTTTAGAAGCCTGTAAAGATTTTTGTCTTGACTATATTCAGTGAGTTTTACAGTTTTTACTATAAAAATTAAGTGATGTTAACCTGGGTCTAATACTGGGGATATTAATTTTCATATGTTTTTAAGAGGTGTAGGTGCTGGCTGTAATACTAAAGAAGTCATAGATAGATTAAGATATCTCAAAGCCGAAATTGAAGATCTAGAACTGAAGGAAAGAGAACTTGATCAGCAGAAGTTGTGGCTACAGCAGAGCATCAAAAATGTGATGGACGACTCCATTAATAATAGATATCCTTTTAAATGAACTATACATAGATGTAATATGTATTTACCTATTCTTTCAGTCTGAACATCAGTTACTTTAGTGTTTTTAAGAGACTTCAGTTTTGCAAGTGATTATAACATTTTAATTTTATAACATTCTTCTAATAATTTATATGAATATTTTAAATTTTTAACTTTTTTAAGTCATATAGTACATCTATTATCAAATAGATGCGTCTGTTGCAAATTCCCCTATATTTGGTCTACCCATTGACAGGATATAATACAGTAGCTAAAGTGTGCTTAGAAGGAGTCTGCAAATTTGGAAGTCGTTGTTAAATCATTGTTCTGAACCTAAATCATTCAGTGTTACAAAGTGGTAAAAGTTCAGTAACTCTTTTTAAAAAATTAATTTTGGTTTGAAAATGAAATATCACAGGCCTGCAATCAGTCCAGGATACATTCTGCCTAATATTAACCCAAAGAGAACTTTAGTAGAGGGTAGGGTTCTAAGGCTGGTATATCTACCATATTTGGGGAAAAACATTAGTGATATACTCCATGTGTTTCTTATGACCATTGTGTTCTTTCAGATATGTGACTGTTGATTTGTGACTTACCTGTACTCATGGAACATTTTAACTACATTTATCTTATACCACCTCTCATGAACTTTTGACTGTGTATATAATTTATTTTTCACGTTGTCTTGTCTTTGGTGAATGAGTCCATGATGTCATTTGTTATTTCCTTTCTAGAATCAGAACTCCTTAACAGTTTGATAATAATGGGGGTCTTCAGCTGTGCCTTGTGGAGCCCCGAGATTCCAAAAAGCATTGAACTAGTTGATCACACACTTTGCTGCACCACTTGCCAAGATCGCGGCACTCCCAGTTCCCCAGACCATGACCCAAGAAGTCTCGATGCAGCGACTTCAGTAGCTGGCTCTTCAGTCCCACCGACAGCATCCTCCCCCATCAGGGTCCTTCCCCCAGAAGCTCCCATCTCCATGGGATGTGTTTCCTTCCCTCCCCCAGGAGTCCTCAGATGACACAAATCCAAAGTGGCTTCTTCTTAGAGCAAAGGATGGATACTTCTCTTACGGATCTTTATTTGATTGCCTTTTCAGACAAAAGACTTGTGTTCTTTTTGATCTGACCATGTGTGACAGTCCCTTCATGCATTTGGTCACTTTGGTCTTCAGAATAATTATCTTAATTTATATATCCAGGCCTTGATATAAATGTTATTCCTTAACTCTGTGACAGTACATTTTCCTATGTAACTCATGAAGACATCTGTAATTGTTTTAATGGTAAGTACTGTAAAGTATATTTTTTCTTGTTCTTCCTTTGATCAACGTATTTAGTGTAATGTGATTTAAAATTCTCCACGCAGTCACCTCAAGTCATTATTTTCTGGATTTGTGGACATTTTTTGGTCTCCCTCTATAGTGCTATGTGTTGATAGGCTGCTTTCATTTCTGTTCTCATGACAATAACTGCTTTTCCCAGCTTTCACTTCATTTCCTGCCTTGGTAGGTATAAACTCTGTTGTGGGAGAGGCAGCTAAGTCAGAGAGGGATTAAATAACAGCCTCAGAGTCACAGAATCACAGTCAACGACTAAACTTGAACAAGAACATGGTTCTCATTGGTACTGTTTATGAAAGTGTATGTAGCAGATGTGCTGGTGAAAAATGCACCAATAAAGCTCAAAAAAATCATGAGGACACAGCCAGGTTTATCCATTTATAATCTGGAAAATTATTCCTCACCTTACTCCCTCTCCAGCTTCCATGTTTTCCCCTTAAGATGATATGCTCAGTTGCTCAGTCGTGTCTGACTCTTTGCAGCCCCGTGGGCTGTAGCCCGCCAGGCTCCTCTGTCCATGGAAGTTTTCAGGCAAGAATACTGGAGTGGGTTGCCACGTCCTACTCCAGGGGATCTTCCTGACCCAGGCATCGAACCTGCATCTCTTGCATCTCCTGCACCGGCAGGCAGGATCTTGGCCACTATGAATAACTAAAATGATGGTGGGGGCTGAATTCCCATTTTATATATAACACAAAATAGGCATAGGCTATTAAAAGGACAGTCTTGTAACATGCACATACAAAAAAAAAAAAAATCTGCCAAACGCTTTGCCAAGTGGAACCTGACTCTAAGGCTGCGCTGGTTTTATACACGGCCTCATTGCTCTACTTTGTCACCGTATTTCCCAAGCTTTTCAAAGAAATTTGGGGAAATATTCTTAATGTTCAGCCCAGCAGATACTGCTGTAGAATCTGGCTTCAAAAGTTCATGTAAGCTTAAGATTTCACTGTATCATACCAATTTAAGTAGTATAAATACTTAACTAAACAGTGTTATTTAATTAAGGTTAAAAGGAAGTTTTGAGAGTCTCAGACATGACATGAGCCTGGGTGAAAGCAAAATTAACTTGAGCAGAATTTGTTAATGAGAATAGAGTGAATATTTACCCTGTTGTAAGATCTACTAACACATACGTGTGTTTAGTTGCTCAGTTGTGTCTGACTCTCTGTGACCCCATGGTAGCCCACCAGGCTCCTCTGTGCGTGGAATTCTCCAGGCAAGAATACTGGACTGGGTTGCCATTCCCTTCTTTAAGGGGTCTTCTTGACCAAGGAGTGAAAACCAGGTTTCCTGCATTGCAGGCAGATTCTTGACCATCTAAGCCACCAGGAAAGCCCTTGAGGACTAAATGACGTTATATATATTTATCTATATCTCTCTATATAAAACTGACAAGATATATTACCTCATTTAACCCTCAAAAACCCTGTCTGGTAAGTTATGTCACCCCCATTTTACAGAATAAGAACCAGAACCCCAGGTCACCAAATCCAAGCATTCTGACTTCACAGCCCACTCTCTTGGCCATTGTATTGCAAGATAAATAGTTTTCTCTAAAATGTAAAAATCTATTTCTTAACTTTTTCTTGACCAGGTGATACACTTTTGGCCATTCAAGCACCTTCTGGTACACAGCTGGAGGTACCTATTCCAGAAATGGTACGTATGTAGGATAGCTTTTGTTAAAAATGGATCTGCTGCTTCACGAGGGACAAACATTTTCTGGAGCTGAACATGAGCTAATTGTAAACACTTTCAAGTAACTGCTTTTAAGTTGTAAGTATTCATATCTGAAGTTAGATGTCTTCAGTACTTTTGCAAAATTATGGATGTGACTGATCATTTAACATTACTTTTTAAAAAGTCTTATTTGAGCTAGAAGACATCAAGGAATGAGTGATGATACAGTCGATAACCTTAAAAAAATCAGTTTGACCAATCTATAGCCAATATAACAATCCTGAAGAAAAAGTTCACTTTAAATATCAACAATAATTTACTGCTTTAAATTAGGTCTTTTAAAAAACATTTTCTGGCTTATTGAGTCAAAGATGTCTATTGACTCTATGCTAATATAAATTTCATTGTTTTCATTTTCAAATTTCCTAAAACAGATTTGAAAACAATTTAAAAAGGTAGAAAAAAATTACTGTTATCTCCTATTACCTCCTTCGCTTCTCCCAGCTATTCTATAAGTTTGTATTTAGGCATTTATAGTTTCTGAAGCCTCAGGATACAAATTACCTTTTTGAAATGGAGGGGATTTACATTTATATCTCTGTAGGAAAAATAAGTTGTCTTTGTGCGTTGCTGAATGGAAAAAAATGTTGCCTTGCGACACTTGCTATTTAAGACCACATGTTGAGATGACCACCACATGCATGGCGGTCAGCGCCAAAGGCGATGGCTGCCACAGCTGAGGGCAATGCTCTGAGCACCGCTGAGCGCGGAGTGTGTGATTAGAGCCAACATAGACGGCTTCCGGCATTCTACAACTGAGAGTTTTTGATGACCGCTATTTGAGAAAAGCTTACTTTTTAGGGTCAAGTGCTTTGTAGTCCTCAATATCCCATTCTTCTGGTCTCTACACTATTTTGACTTACTGACTTTTGTTCTATTTAGTTAGTCCCTATAGCTTTGCCTGTCTTTCTTTTTTTAAATGAAAATATAACACATTTATAGTAGACTTGGAAAATACAGAACAAGGTTACATAGAGTTCCATTATGCATGGATGTTCCATTAGTTATTTAAGTAGATAAAGATTTTAAGTTGGAGTTTCAACATGAAACTATCTAGAATGAATAGACAGAAAAATAGAAGGATACAGTAGTTGCCTGTCTTATTTTTAATGTTTCATGTTGGTTAGAAATGTTGACCTTTGTTCATTTGTTTATGCCCAATAACTTCAAAGGGTCAGAATGGACAAAAGAAATACCAGATCAATCTGAAGAGCCATTCAGGACCTATCCACGTGCTGCTCATCAATAAAGAGGCCAGCTCAGCGAAGCCCGTGGCTTTCCCCGTGCCCCCCCCAGACGACCTCACGCAGCCTCCCTCTCAGCCCCCCGCCCCAGTGCCTCCGCACAAGCCCAGCACGGCCGTTCAGAGCCCGCCTGAGCCACCCGTCTCCGAACGGAGCCCGACTCTTCAGCACACACCAGCCACAGACTTGTCTTCAGGTAAGTTCAGAGCCATTGTTTTCAAAAGCAGAGGGGAAAATATGAAGACTGCATTGGACAAGTTAGAGAGCATTTCTGAATCTCTCAGTTGTGATGTTATTCGCTTATCTAGTATAGGAGGCAAAATAGTAAACCTATACAACAAGTATTAATTTTGTGTCTCCTATGTGCCCAGCACTGGAATATGTATTAGAAGGAAAATTTAAAAACAGATCCTGTCTTTAATTACATTGTGTTGTTTAGTCACTCAGTCGTGTCCGACTCTGCGACCCCCGGAATGTAGCCTCCAGGCTCCTCTGTCCATGGGATTTTCCAGGCAGTACCGGAGTGGGTTGCCAATTCCCTCTACGTTTAATTGTATTACTACTACTACTAGTTTCATAGACTGTGTAAATATGTATGTATATACAGTTTTCCTTAGGATTCCATTTTGGAATTAGACCATTATTTGTTCTTTTTGCTGTTAAAATATATAAAAAGAAATGTAAAAAAACTTTTATCACATTTCTGTTTCCAGCGGGATCTATTAGTGGAGATATCATTGATGAGTTAATGTCTTCTGATGGTAAGCAGTTAAAAAATTTAGTAACTAACCTTATATGTTAATAATGCTTTTCTAGAATTTGAGTGGCATTATGATTTAAAAGACATGAGAACCTGTATTTTTTTTTTACTGCTTAATGTACTATGATGGTTCATGAAATTTATAGTTAAGTTATAGGCATCATGAAGAATTTCTTTGCCTGCATTTTTATGAAAAATAATTCATAAGGGGATACTTAATCACATTTACAGAATAAACTTCTACACTGTTGGCATACTAGCCCTTTTCACACCTGAACAATCTGGCCAAGAAGAGTAGAACAATATATCTGAGTCAACAAGAAATGTGAAAACCTAGTTTTGTAAATATGCCCATCATGGCCAATTTCAGTGATAGCTACATAATCGTCTAACCTGAAATAATTCCTAAAAATCAACTGATTATAAAACTGTAGTTACTTTAACAGTTACTGTCTGGGCCTCCCCTTCCTGTAAGTTCTTGAATTCCTAACACACACGTACAACACACACGGTAGCTGTTAAATTAGCGAGCCTTCTAGTAACCACTGAAGAGACTTAGCAAACGTTTCTGTAAAAGCAGAGAATTTCAGCATTTTTATTAACTTATGTCTGATTCCTGTCTGTTTTCAAAATGGTAGCTTAGTTAGCAGATCAGAGAAAATACTGACTAGTGTTTCTGAATCATTTTAGTGATGAATTCAACCAATAAAAATTTTAACTTCTATTTCCCAAGCTAAACCTATAATCAATGCATAAAATATCTTTAAATAAGAATCTTTGAAGATACACACAAAATACAAATCATTAATTTGATCATTACATTTCCTATTGTATTTTTTTTTAATTTCCTATGTAACACGGGAAGCATAATTTGGCTTGATGTTTTTGATAGTATTTTATCTTAGACATCGTTACCTGTATGCAGAAACCATCTTTAACACTGCATTTGTGTTTTCGCTTGCAGTGTTTCCGCTCTTACGGCTTTCTCCGACCCCAGCAGATGACTACAACTTTAACTTAGATGATAATGAAGGCGTCTGTGATCTGTTTGATGTCCAGATACTAAATTATTAGATTCCATGGAAACTTGGGACTGTTATCTACCTCTAACTGTGTAACATTTTAGACTTCTTAATAACCTAAGTATTTAAAATAATGAATGTAACACCTTTTTAGTTCACTGATTCTGAAATGTTCTTCCCTAATACTTTCTTTTTGCTTCACAAAACTTCAACTAGAAAAACAAAGGATTCTGACTGTTTAAGGAGAAAAAATGATTTCACATCCACCAACCCTCCACCCTCAAGTAATTACTTTCTGAAATTTCAACTTTTCTTCCCATTCTGAACCCTTGTTTTTTTTTTTTTCTTATATGAGAAGAAAGTTAAAGTAGACTTCAGGTCGTGAAAAACAAGAACGTTGGCCAAGGGCTCATCACTTGTTTTGTCTTCCATTTTTACTGCCGCGAGACTGTCCGTGTCTGTGTCCTCCAATCCAGACACTCACTGCCACTCATGAAGTGAAGGGTGTGAACTGGGATATGTTAACTGCTTCAGTGAACAGAGTTTGTGAAGTGCCTTCTGGTTTAGCACTTTAAGTTGATCACATTTTGTTGACTTCTGACATTCCACTTTCCTAGGTTATAGGAAAGATCTGTTTATGTAGTTTGTTTTTAAAATGTGCCAATGCCTGTACATTAACAAGATTTTTTAAATAAAATTGTATAAAAGATTAAATTTATTGGTATTTTTGGGGAATTTGATGCATCATTGGTTTATTACAACTGAGCCATTAATCTTGTAGCCTCATCAACATTAACTGGTATGTTTTCATGACACTGCTGAGATACCTAGAGAGAAGAAATTACATTTAAAAATTTACATAACTGCAAACAAAAATGACACAGTCTACTGACATATAATCTTTTAGCCAATATAATTTCTTCCAGTCATACTTTTGGAAGTAGAACAGTAAATTCCCATATTTAGACTCAGTGTTTTAAAGTCTGAACGTGCTACACATACTACAGAGCCAAGTACTAAAAATCACAATCAATATGGGCTTTGAAAATTTGGAATTAGCCAGAACAAAAGCAAGTGCTTTCTACTCACCAGCTGTTTCTGCAGAGGTTCAAGGGAAAGGCCTTTTGAGAAGTTTGCTAGTTCCTTCTGTATATCTATAAAAGCTTTATTCACTCTCTTAACTTTTTCATCATTCACAATGTTTATCTTTTAAAACAAGAAAAAAGAGCAGTAATTCATGATCTTAAAACCATTACAGATAAAATATAGGCAACCTTAATCTTATTAAACCCCCAAATCTATAAACTCTTATCCATCCTACCAATTTGTGCAGATAATTCACACTAAAATTCTTATAGTCTTATTGAGACACTTTCGACAAAAGGTTCTGCTTTTTAAAAAAGAATTATGTAGCTATACCTTCTACCTTGACTTTCCTGGTATAAGCAGGCCAAAACATGTGCCTACAATGTTTGCAGGCCATGACACTACCGTCTCTTATCTGTGAAACGAGGACCCTGGATAGAACCCTGCCAGGGTCCCAGCAGGGCCCCTCCAGATCCTCCCTGACAGGAGCTCCTGGCGGTCTCCTGAGAGCGCGGCCAGTACAGCCCTCCATGGTTGAGAACGAGGTGGGGCGGTGTTCTGGTCTTCACTGCTCCCGAGCATTCCTCCTTCAAACTCTCAGCTCCTCTGCACCTTACTCGCCAGGACATTCTGACCCCCTCTCCTCACTGCTGCCCCCTGCCAACACCAGGATTACTGACGCCTTTGTGAACAACCTCAAACCTTGGCTCACTGACCCGTGCCTGGCAGCACTGCTTAGTGGCTTCGGCAAGAACCTATCCAGGGCCGCTTCATCTTTTCAGGTCCTCGTCTCCAGGGATCTTATCCATGACTTACCTTGCCACCACTGCACTGCATTACCTTAGGCTGCACCACCTCCTGTCCCTCTAGTTCACTTAGTTTATTAGTAATTCTTAAATCTCGCTGAAACCTTTTCTAAGTTGCCTACTGTTCACATTTTCCATCTCCACTTCTTGCGTTAGCCTACTCAGATCCCATGACCACTCGTCAGTCACTCCTTACACCCTCTTAACTCTCCTCCTCTCCCTTGATCAGACTTGCGTGGCAACTTGGTTAAACTCAACTATCAGCCTTTTCTGAGCCTGAAATGGAAGCTGTAGGAAATCACAACTGGCTGCCTGGCTTCATGTCCGTTCATAATCACCAACTTCAAACTTACCTTTTATATGCTGCCTGGCAATCTTACCTTAGTAAGTTAAGCTACTTTCTGAGAAAATTGATACTTTCTCCAACCAGGCTATCTACCCACAGGTCTTTTCCAGTAGCATCCACAAAGTTTCTAGGACTTCCTGTCTAAACAGAGTAATCTTTCTCAAATACACCAAACTCTTCCCCAGCAGGAGGCCTTTGTACCCGCTATTCTTCCTGCGCAGGGCATGCTGCTGCACCAACACTGCACCGCTCTTCGCGTCAGGAGCTCCTGTCACTCAGGTCTTGGCTTCAGCATCAACCCTGAAGACAATCCTACTACACTTGTCACCCCCGAACTCCAGTCATATCAGTCAGCTTTATTTCCCTTTTAGCATTTCCAAAGACATGAAACTGCTCCACCAAAAAGTTTAATTCAGCTAGTTCATGAAGATGGAAAGATAAAATGTTACATTTCTATGGACCATTATGATAATTAGTAAGTCCTTGAGAGCTGACTCCATCTAGTACTTAAGCTTGAAAACATTTTCTTGAATCATCTTCTTAAGGCGTCTACTTAATCTTGAAGAAATTTCTCATTCCCCAAATATTTTGAAAAAATAAAGCAACTCTTTTCATTTTGTATTTTAAACAAAATATTTTATCTCCTATTTTCAGGTTTTTATTTGAGTTCTAGGTATCTCCACAGAGAAATAAGAATTACTGAGGATAAAAAGAATGGGTGCTGACTGACATTCCATGTCCTGGCTCTGTTGAGAGCTTCTTGAATATATATGAATTTAGAGAGAATTTTTCCATAATGTGTTTGTTTTTTTGTTTTTTCTGATTTCCAGTCTCTGAGAATTAACTGTTACTTGGAGCCTCATACATTTGCAGTTAAAATGTTTTCCTTTCACACATTTGGATTCAAGAAAGGGAGGCTATTTTTCTTCATCATTTTTCTTTTTTAAAACAAATACTTAAAATCATCTTGCTTTTGTAGGCAGCAAAGGCAGAGAGCTTCAGTGACACTCACCTTCTTAAGATTAGTAGTAACTGGTTTTGCTTTATTTTTAACCTTCAAGCTTCTCTGGCTGGCTATGTGGAATACATTCCTGGACTTCTGCCCTCTGAGTTTATTCTTGGCCATTGTCTAGGAAAAAAAGAAAGAGCTCAATTAAGTTGCCCACATTTATGAACTGTAAATCAATTAAAATTTAGGAAATAAAGGTACCAATTAAGATGATCCACCTTACTCCTGACTATTTTTAAAACTGCTACTTGTATTAAATTCCATGTCTTTTGGTCCTACAGATTCTCCTATTTGAGTGCAAAGAGTATCTAATTCTTTTCTGCATCTCCAGCACCTGGACCGTAAGAGGCTCTACATTAATTTCTGCCAGTTAGAGTCATTAACTAATATTACCAACACAACAACTGGTTTTTTTTTTTTTCAACTTTCTGACAATGCTAACCGTCACCACCCATCTTTCCGCTAGTTTACATGGTGGTATTCCACTGGGGTTCCTTTCATACTCTAAGACTGACTCCTTTCTTCTTTCTTTCATTCCTTTTTACTTGCCCCATTTTCACTCCTGTGTGCACCTCCTCAAAGTTGGTCGCTCAGTCATGTCTTTGCAACCCCATGGACTACAGCCCTGCAGACTCCTCTGTCCATGGGATTCTCCAGGCAAGAATACTGGAGTGGGTTGCCATTTCCTCCTGAAGGGGATCTTCCCAACCCAGAAATTGAACTCTGGTCTCCTGCATTGCAGGAAGATTATTTACCTCTGAGTTACCAGGGAAGCCCAGCCCCTCAAAATCAGTACTTAATCTTGCATGTCCAAACCCCAGCCTTATTTTCAGAACTTCCATATCACTTCTGTGTGAATGGCTCTTGCCTAAAAATTTTAACATATTATTTTTGTTCCACAGCTAAACACACTAAGCCTATAAATTCTATTTTAGAAACATCTCTCAAACCTGTCTTTAACAATGCATGTGAGGAACAATTTCAAAATTAATTGTTAAGATTTATTAAGCTTTGACTACATGTACGAGCACTATGCTAACATTCTATGTGCTTTCTAACTAACTTCTTACAAAAACACTTTGGGAGGTACTATTTCATTCTCATTTTGTGGATAAAAAAACTGATGCAAAGAGAAGTTAATCTGCCCATTGTCACACTGTTAGTAGTCAGGGTATGCCACAGTTCAAAGCCAGGAAGGCTAGATCCTGAGCTCTTATTATGTGATATGGCCTCACAAATACATAAAGAGCAACACAAAACCACGATTTAGTACTGCCTTAGTTCAGGACTGGGTTATTGATTTAGTTCCTAGGACTATTTGGTTAGACTCTGGGTTGGACAAACTTTACCCACAGACCAAATCAGGTCAGGCACCTGTCTTTGTAAATGACTGTTAGAATGCAGCTCTATCTATTTAATTATGTATGTATTGTCTGTGGCTGCTTTTCTGCCACAACTGTGGCTTGCAAAGCCAAAAATCCTTATTTGGCCCTTTAAAGAAAGACTGTGAAGGCCTGGCTTAAGCCATATGCATTCAAGTCTATCCTGTACAGTGGTACAAAATGAACCGTCCCAATGTTAAAATTCTTCAATGGCTCCTCCAACCCACAAGAAGCAATATTCTTTGTCATGACATGTTGCAGAAAAGCTGATTCTAGCATAAATGTGTCAAAGGTATCTTCTGCTATATCTTTGTAGCCACCTTAGAATACTAACTAATCTCTGAAGACACTTTGCACATTCTTCCTTTCTTCCCTTTGCTCACACTGTATCTCTCCTCCTTAAATGTCCAACTTAAGGAAACAACAGAGACGGCAAAACTTCCCGAACCCGAATAATACTCCTTCTAATTAAAAAAAAAAAGGAACACAATAGAAAATACCTGAGTATTATACAAGCATAAAATACACATAAAAAGCCACCCCAAATTAATCTAAAATCCTTCCAATAAGTAACCAGAATCCGATCATTCATTAACGAATTACTACGTGTAAAGTGCGGTACAGAACTATATGCATCGTATGAAACATATACAAACACAAAACGCATAGACAGGGGCTGAGTCTGGTAACATAAAGCGTTGTGAGCAGACGGAAAGATCCAACGGGTCTGGGGACTCGGGCAAGGTTCTTGCAGAAGGTGACAGCTCAGCGGGGGGCAGGGCGGGTACAGGGGTTGTCCGTGACGACCCCGTGGAGACGAATGACAAAACAACGACTGTACTCTTGTCCCTCGCCCCGGACTTAGGGCCCAGCACCGAGCCTTCCGGCCTGAGCCCGCGGGCCGGCGGTCGAGGACAACCGCCCAAGGCAGCGGGCAGCCGAGCCGACCTCTGGACGGCAGCGGCCCACCAGGCCCGCCCCAGCCCCGCGAAGCTTCGCGCCAGCGCCAGGGAAGTATCCTTCACTAACCTCTCACCAGGCCTCCGACACCCTCGTGTAACCTCTCAGGTTCCAGGCAACGCCATATACACACGCGACACCCGGAAGTTCCGGGATGAGAGGGCCTATCATAGGGCCTCCCTCGGGCCGCGGTTCCGCCCCCGGGAGAAGCCCCGCCCACAGAGCGTGGTCCCGTCCCTGAGCTCGGTGGGTAGACAGAGGTAAGCCCCGCCCACAGAGCGCGGTCCAGTCCAGGGTCTCGGTCTGTAAAGAGAGATAGGCCCCGCCCACTGGTCGTGGTTCCACCTACGGGCAGGTTCCCACCCACACGACGTAGGACCGCCCTCAGGGCCGAGGCCCCGCGGAGCTTCCGCCCCTGAGCGCCGCGCAACCCCGCCCACAGGACGAAGTCCCGCCCTCAAAGCGAAGTCCCGTCCCAGAGCTCGGTGGGTAAACAAGATAAGCCCCGCCCACAGAGAGTAGTCCCGTCCCAGAGCTCAATCTGTAGCCGTATATAAGCCCCGCCCACAGGGCGTGGTTCCGCCCCACGCTGGTTCCCACCCACCGAACGTAGGACCGCCCACAGGGCCGAGGCGCGCGGAGCTTCCGCCCCCGAAGGCCGCGCAGCCCTGCCTACAGGGCGAAGTCCCGCCCGCCGTGTGAAGTCCTGCCGGTTAGCGTCTCTGGCCCAATGCGGCCTTGAGCTCTACTCGGCGGAGACGCGGAAGACGCGGCGCGCCTCGAGCTCCTCGCGCGGACTCGCGTACAGAAACCAGCCGGCGCCTCTTGGTCACCAGAGCCGCGAGGGCGGTCTCACAGAAGTCGGCCTTCGGCCGCGTCCTGCAAGCTGGCGGGGCCGCGCTCCCGGGACGCGAGACGCGCGCCGCTGGGGGCGCCCCAGGCTCGCTGGGCGGCACCGAGCGCCTAGGGTCTGAGTGGATCCGGGGCTAGCGCTGGGACTTCTAGGCCAAGACTGTAGTGAGCCGGAGCTGCAGTGCTTTCCTCAGGCAGATGAGAACTTCTGACGTGACAGCAAACGCGCAAGAAAGTGCAAACAAGCCGTGCAGCAAGAATGAAGTGAGAGCCGCCCAGTTGTATCCATGGGAGTCTCCAGACCGGAACACTAGAGTGGGTATTTCCCTCTCCAGAGTACTGAAAGCTACCTACCCTTCAAGGAAAAATGCATTTTTTGTGAGGAGCCAATTATCATGAAAAGTTTCATGATTGATTATAGGAATGCAGAGTCTTTTATTCCTTTAACCCCTCAGTGACAGAATTTATTTTCAGACTAAGAATAAGCATTTATAACATATTCTATATAATAAAGTAGAGCAGAGCAGACAGGACCTTCCATCTTTTTGTCTAGGTCAGATTCCTGGAAATATCTGTATTAGCACTCTGCAGTGAAGGAAAAGCGACACTTCCTTAGGGTATTCTGAAGCTGTAGGAGGTGAATCACAGGCTTTGTATTTTTATTATTTATTTTCTATAATTTAAATCAAATATCATATTACTGGTATGTACGTTTGTCTCTCAACTAGTACATGCCCTCTTCAGGGGCCAGGTTCACTACTCATTCACCTTTATATTGCCATCCAGGATTCCGTATTTCCAGTGCATGGAAGGTGTGGCATAAGCATTTGCTGAATGAAATAAAATTTCCTTAAGTATAAGAAGCAGAGAAGAGATTGTAGCCAGTACACTAAAAATGACTTTAGAGCTCTGTCTTTAGCACGACTGAAAAATACCTAGAACACTTCTTTTTAGCTTTTTGTAGTACTGTTCCTTGGAAGTGATAGGTGTTTGACAAATATGTTTTTAATTTAATTAAGCAGATTTTATTCAGAGTAATCTCCTGGCCAAATGCCTAGAAATCCTGAACCTGAACTAATTACAGTTACAAAGGATGGCTTGCGTATGAAATATCTGAAGGTGAGGAACAGTGAAATCCCTATCACAAAGGCAATAAAGATATTCAAAGAGTACATGAAGTCCTTTCACATTTTTTGTGATGCTTGGTTAAAATGCAAGCAATGGTTAAAAGTTATAGGAATTGGGGAATATTTAGCAAATGCATTTTTAAAACAAAATTGGTAGCTGCAAAGGAGGCAGTGAGCTATTAAATTATCATTTGGCACTCCAAATTTCAACAGTGTTTAAAGCAAAATTAAAGGCTGCTGTGATTTGTAATTACCATGTTTAGTTAATAATGTAAACACTCAAGTTGTCTAAAGTTCAGCAATGATTTTGAGATTTTTTTCCGTTGATATTGTTCTGTTCAGAGTCTATATGAGGCAGGAGGCAGAAGGGCCCCCCAGGGTAAAGCAATCAGATTCATTCTCTACTGACCAAAACTCCAAGACAAGAATAGCAGGGCAATCAAAGGGAGGAGATTGGACCCTGCACAGACCACATATTTCTCGTCCCAAAGTCAGGAGACCCTCCCTGGCCGCACATGCACAGAAAAGGCTCTGTTGCTGTTCTACCCAGATGCCTTTTTGGTACAGTTCATCTTGGCTAAGATGCATGCACACACGTGGGAAGATCCTGAGATATACTGAATATGGACTGTGAACCCAGGCAGATCAAGATGAGCGGCCAGAGGAACTCTGGGAGAAATGCCCCACAGAAGTGATGTAAACTGCCACAAGGGCGCGACTCAGGGGCTCTCTCTCAGAGTCTGCCCATGTGTCTATCCATATGCACTGTACTTGTTCCTCCTAAGAAATGCTTTACTTGCTTCACCACTTTCTGTCTTTGTGGATGTTCTTTTCTGCAACGCCAAAGGGACGGGGCCCTTGTCACTAACTGCTGGTCTAGTCGCTGGGATCTGGTGCTTACGCTGCTGTGACCCAGCCTCCATCTCTGGTTGGGAACCCCAGCCCTGCCCCAAGGCATTCAGGCCCAGGCCACCCAAGATCATATCTAGATTAAAGTTGACAGTTTCCGACTCTCTTTGTGTATTGTTTGTTCAGAACTCTCTTGTTCTGAAATCCTACTAAGAATTACATAATCATCTATATTTTGTTAAATAAGACAAATTGCTGAGGGCTATAAGGATTTCATGATCTTTTTCCTTTAGATTAGAAAAGTCATGAAGAGTACTTGAGGAAATTCGGAAAATTCAGAAAAGTATAAAGCAGGAAGTGAACAGCCAGCAGTTACTGCATTCTGCCTTAACTCACCACAGTCTTTCTCTCGTTTGGATTACTGTAATAGCTTCCTAACTGGTTCCCCTGCTTTAATCTCTACCTACCCCAGAAGGAATCCTGCTAAGATGTTAATCAGATCATGTCATTCCTTAGCTCAGAAGTTCCAGTACTTCCCCCATCACTCGGGATAAAGGCCAAAGTACTTACAATGGCCTGTGAAGCCCTGTTTGACAACCTTCCACCCCGCACCCTCACCCCACCCCATCCCACCCCACCCCTGACTGTTTCCTTACTTCTCTGCCCACTAGATATCTGCAAAGCTCCTCCCTCTCCTCTTCCAGTGTGTGCTCGCTCAGTCATGTCTAACCCTTTGTAACCCCATGGACTGTAGCCCACCAAGCTCCTCTGTCCATGGGATTTTCCAGGCAATGCTGGAGTGGCTTCCTATTTCCTCCTCCAAGGGATCTTCCCGAGCCAGAGATCCAACCCCCTCCCCCACCCCCGCCCACAACTCCTACCCAGCTCCTGTGTCTCCTGGATTGGCAGGCAGATTCTTCACCTCTGTGCCACCTGGGACCCTCTTTCCGGTCTTCTCTCATATGCCCTGGTTTCCAATGAGGGCTTCACAACTACCTCTGTAAAATACCAAGTCCTCCCACATCCCTGCCCTCCTTCTCCACCGTTATCATCACGTAGCATCCCATGTATTTATTTACTTTGCCTGTTTATTACCTGCCTCCTCCTGCTAGAATGTGAGCTCCATAAAGGCAGAGCATTTTATCTGGTTTTGTGTGCTACTGTATTAGTTCTCTAATGCATAATGAATCACTCCAAAACTGAGTTTCTCCAAATAAGAGTCTTCATTTATTTTCTCATGATTTCAGTGGGCATGGAATTTGTGAGAGGCTTGACTTGATGGTTCTGGCTCAGGGTCTTTCACGAGATTCAGTTGGATGTTAACCGAGGCTGCAGGCATCTGAGGGCTTGGCTGAGACTGGAGGGTTTCCTTGCAAAGCAACTCACATGGCTGCAAGCTGGTGCTGGCTATTGCCAGTTTTCCCCAAATCCTCTCCTGAACTTCCCAGCTGGGTTACTTGAGGGTCCTCTGCTGTGGAAGCAGGAGAGTCCCAGACTGAATGATCCAAGAAATCAAGGGAGAAACTGCAATATCTCTTATGCCCTAGACTCAGAAGTTGTACACCTTTGCTTCCACTGAATTTTTACAATTACACATGCTGGCCCTATTCAGTGGAGGAGACTACAAAAGGAGCTGAACACTAGGTGAGGATTGTTGCAGACTATCTTGGAAGCTGGTCAGTGCAGCAGCTGTATCCCCTGTGCCTATAACAGTGCCTGGCACGTAAAGGGAGCCCAACAGATGTTCTCGAACAATAAATAAATTCCACCACTTAACTTTCTAAAGATATATTTCTTTGCAGCCTTTTTTCCTAAACAGATAAACTATGTTGTTTCTTAAAAATTGGAATTTTTCTTTAGATAATTTATAATTTATAAATGTAAACATACATACTAAGCATATTTTAAAATATACTTAGTATCTTTCTAAAGTTACATCTTGTTGATGTTTGATATTATTTAAATATTCTTATCATTAGCATTTCCATTGTTTCTAGATTTCTTCTGTTATGAATACGTTGTGATGAACACCCTTCTACATAAACCTTTGAGCAATCTCCTAACATTTTCTTGGAGAGCATGATGAGGAATAAGATCTGAGATTATAAATACTTAAAATACTTGATTTAAGTTATCAAATTGTTTCCAGAAATAGAAACATTATGTTTCTACAGTGTATGAACATGTGTGTTTCACAGCATGATTATGAATATGGAATGTTGATGCCTTTTAAGAAACTGAAGTTTTGGTTAGGAAGAAAGAGCATAAAGACCTTTATAGAATTATACATCTTTTGAACTTCGTTATATGTTTAAAGGGCAGTTTTCAAAAAAATAAAGGGCAGTTTTCTTTCTTTTCTGTTTTTGTCATATCCACAGGTTGTTTAGGAGTCAAAATTGACAAAATTTATAGGTGAGGGGAGAAAGAGACAAGCTGGAAATATGAGTAGTAATTTTCTGACTTGCGCAGCTGAGTGTGTGGTAGCGCCATTTAATGAGAGAGCAAGATCTGTGAGAAGGAGAATGGGGCAGAGGAGGGGGTAAGTCATTCCTTTCTGGACACCTGAACTTGCAGCAGTTGAGTACAGTCCGGGGGACCTAGAACTGTGCTGCCCAGGATGGTAGCTGCCCAATATATAAGTGACCCCATACGGCCAGTGGTCACTTATAATGAGGCAGGGTGAACAGAGACAGTCCGTCAGAGTAAAATACAAAACAGATTTGGAAGACTTCCTAAGAAAAAAGAATGTCAAAGCTATGTTATTTCACTTAAGATCCAATCAGGGGACAGAAATCACACAATCGCTTGAACAGGAAACATTCACTGTGAAGAATTATTAACTCTGAAATGGAGTTAAAGATGTCAGAGAATACTCAGGAACACCCTACGGCTAAGGGAGAGTTTCCAAGGAAGGACAAGCTTGGCGGTTGGCCTCCTTTCTGAAGTCAGGACTCGGATCAATGGAGAAGCGTGGTTGCAACCCATGGGACTGAAGGGAAGTTTCAAGGGTGGCCCAGAACCAAGCTTGTCCACGGTTGCCAGGCAAGCAGAAACACCCCTCCAGGGTACAGAGGACTACGTCTGGCGTGCAGGTGGCAAAAGAGACTCAAGAGTCGGGAAATCAGCTCTGGCAGGGCGACACACAGCCTGGAGTGTGCGGAATAGGTCTTGGTAAGAGCGCCATGGCAGACACTGTCCATGGTGCAGACCGCTCAAGGCTGGCGAGCAGCTGGGCACAGCGAGTGGGGGCGTCTCTGTGCCAACAGGGTGGCCTGGCAGCTGGGCCATGTGGGGTCCGTCCTAGGAGGGGCAGAGAGACAATCGCTGGGCTGGGGCTGAGGCTGTGGGCTTGCCAAGCGAGTGCACGCTCTTGGTGTGAGGCTGGGGCAAGGTGCCCCTGCAAGCATACTCACATGTGTCCCTGCCAGGCGCCCAAGAGGAGCAAGAAGAAAACAGAAAAAAAGCAGCATGCCAGAACCAGGAAGCCAGTCTCCCCCCTTACAGTGTCCCTCCATGGAGAAAACATCCTTGTGCTTGCTGCAAAGAGATTTTTAAAGCTCTGTTTTCACAGAGCAGGTAGTTCAATGCTGAATTTCATAATGATATTTAATCTAATATTAATCAATCTAATAATAAATTGATAATTGGCACACATTAATTTTGTATTAATTCATGTTAAAACAATAAGGTTCTAGATATATCAGGTTAAATAAGACACATCACTTAAACAAATGTCACTTTTATTTTCACTTTTCTAAAAAAATGCAAACAGTTGAGAATGTAAAATGTGGATCATGCTGGAAGAGCGTTATCCATCATTAGTGTATATCTAGCAAAAGTGGATATCTTATCTCTGGAGATGATATCCTCAAAACTGATAGAGGGACCTGGGAAGAGACTGCAGAGAGAGGAGAGATCCCGGGGGAAGGCCCAATCCCCCCAGATTTAACGGTTTGTGTGATGGTTAGTTTCTTCTGTCAACCTGACTGGCTCGCAGGGTGCCAGGATGTTTGGTCAAACACTGTCCTGGATGTTTCTGTGAGGATGTTTTTTTAATGAAATTGGCACTGAAATCAGTAGATTGCGTGAAGCAAATTGTCCTGCTTAATGCGTGTGGCCCTCATCCTTCAACTGAAAGCCTGAATAAAACAAAAAGACTGAGCCTTTCGCAAGGAAGACAGACTTCCTCCTGCCTGACCGCCTACGAACCACGGCATAAGCTTTTCACCTCCCTCAGACAGGCAGCGAAACCCTGGTCTTCCGGGTCACATGCCCGCCAGCCTCAGACTGCGTCTGTACCGTTGACTCTTCAGGGTCCTCAGCTTGCTGGCTCATCCTGCAGATCTGGGGATTTTTTAGCTCCAGTGTTCTTGCCTGGAGAATCCCAGGGACGGCGGAGCCTGGTGGGCTGCCATCTATGGGGTCGCGAAGAGTCAGACACGACTGAAGCGACTTAGCAGCAGCAGCAATAGCAGCTTCCATAATTGTGTGAACCAATTCCTTATCATAAATGTCTTTACGACACAGACATACCTGCACTGTGTGGTCCTGTATCTCTGGATAAAACTTACTAGTATAGTTGAATATAGAGAGAAAAGGGCTTCCCAGGTGGTGCCACGGTAAAGAATCTGCCTGCCAATGCAGGAGGTGCAAGAGACGCAGGTTCAATCCCTGGATCAGGAAAATCCCTTGGAGAAGGAAATGTCAACCCACTCCAGTGTTCTTGACTGGAAAATTCCAAGAACGGAGGAACCTGATGGGCTACAGTTCATGGGGTTGCAAAGAGTCAGGCACGACTGAGTGATTGAACACACATAGAGAGAAAAACCCAAGAAACACCAGACGATGGGTGGGTAGCCAATGGGAGCTGTATGTGTGTGCTGGGAGAAACTTCCCCATAAGAGAGAAAATTCTAGAACTCATTCTTAGTATGCTGATGGCAATGATGATAGCGTGGGGTTGGTAACGCCGGTTATAAAGGGTATAATGGTATGTGGAGTGGGAGGTTTTGTTAGGTGTGTAAGGGTAGTGCATCAGACCTTCAGTAGTGGAATGGTGGGATCCAGGTGTGGCTGTATCAAGCCTTCCTTGGTACTGAGATGGAGCTATGGGTACCATTCTTGATAGAATAGACTGCCCTTTCCTAGAAGACAGAACAGGATAAATAAGCTTTAGAAGAGCTGATGACAGAATGTCTGTTAGCACCCGAATTT